GTCCTACCACCAATATTTGTCCTTCAAATTTTTTTATATTTCGTGTGACTAGGTAATAAAAGTACCCTGATTGAGTTATACGCATCTACGAGTATAATGTTCGTGTACCTACTGATTTAGTTATGAAGACATACCACAATTCATGTTCGTCGTAGGAAAATAGTCATAAATTTATTTAGAAGTCTATAGTCGCTTTATAGCTCCCCACAGATTACAGTTTGAAACCATCCTATTTGCACACCTCGCGGCGTATTTATCTAATCAAGGCAATCTGGAGCATTCAATAAGGAAGTGGTGAGAGAATGATGAAAACCTTGGCGTGCTTGCTGTATTTGCGGTCTACTGACGTGGGAATTGCCGAACTCCAGCTAACGGTTCCTGGTCTGATCTCCTCGATTATTTGTGACTTAATTAAGGATTTTAATGGCAATAATCAAATTTCGTATCTCGCGACAGGTACGCGTGCAGTTTAATGACTTTACGCAGTTAAGAGCCATTTAATTTAGGAATTTCATAGCCGTTTTCGGTAATGAAACTACAGTTGTAATGAGTTCTTGAAAAAAACTGTTTTTCGGTTAAACCACGCTTATTTACGTAACGAAACTGTATACTGCAAACTGCAAATCTTTTGGTAATTAAGTGTAATTAAATATCATGGAAGTTTTATTTTTTTTCTACTTTAACACCTGCGATCAGTCGCCAAGACTATAATCAGGTGAGTTGCGAGAGGTTATGCTTTGGAGGGACAGAGCCAATGCTCCGTCTCGCCTTAGTAGGGTAGCACGTCGGCTCTCTTGAGTCTTCTAATCGGATTTGGCTGCAATAGTAAGCTGGACAACGGGTTTGGGTGAGCTTTCAAGCGGTTCTTATAGCTGGCTGAGTATCGTTTAACTTCATCCAAGATGGTTGGGGTATCATGGAATTTGATTGAGTTTTATTAAAGTTAAGAATGGAAAAATGGTTTTCTAAACAATTTATTACACGTTTGCATTGATTTTAGTTGACTAAAAAACAGGTTTTTAGTTTAACGTCATCGTGGACTAAGAGAATAAGACGCCAGAGCATTAGTTTTTTTATTACTTAGATGGAAAAACCGAGCGATGCATCTATTCCGGTGTTCGAATCCCGCAGTCAGGTAGGTAATTTTTATATTTCTCTAATGAAATACATACTTAACAAATGTTTCACGAATTACTTTCATTATTGAAGGAATTAACATCGTATTATAAGAACCAATTAAAAATATTAATATATTAGGTAATATTGATGCATAACTAGTGGTAGTGGTACTCTTGTGAGCTCGCACGGGTAGGCACCACTACCTATTTCTGCCACAAAGCAGAAATGCGTTTCAGTCTGAAGATTGGGGATTGCCCCCCGTTGTACTATGAAAACTTTAAATTTACTATAAATGACTCAAAATTCATATCTCAAGGCGGGTTGCAGCATTACTTTGTTGATATCTATGAGCTCCGGTAACCACTTAAACCTAGGTGGGCCGTGGGCTCTTTCATCCACCTAAGCCATAAAAAACATTATTTTTTAATTTATTATTTAAGTAAGAACCTTTTGTTATGTGAGGATATTTTGTTGATTCTTTTTTTTTAAAGCTTGCTTGGTTGCTTCTAACATTTAAATTCCTTCTATTTAAATTATATCAAGACCTAGCCCGTAATTTATTAATAATCGTTAATAAGGCGCACTTAATTGAATTCGAATTTGACTTGTTTAAAAACCTTTAAGAATAGACGTTTTGCTACGAACCTAATAAATTTTTCGTAATATCTATATACATATATAAATGAATTGCCGCTCGTTAGTCTCGCTAAAACTCGAGAACGGCTGGACTGATTTGGCTAATTTTGGTATTGAATTATTTGTGGAAGTCCAGAGAAGGTTTAAAAGGTATATAAATATGAAAATGCTCGGAAATTAATAAAAATAACAATTTTGTTTTTACTTTGATGTGTCCCCCGTCGGACGGATTCCTTTTGTTTGTTTTATGTTTATTTTATACAAAAGTTTAGGTCTTTTATTTATCGATTGAGACACTAAGAAGTCTGCCGGGTCAGCTAGTTTATAATAATAATTAAGTTTAGTTTATAAAGTGTTGTGTAAGTAATCGAATGACTGATTTAAATGGAACGATTAAAGAGTCCGATCGATTAGTTTTTTTTAAACCGCATCTCATCAGGGCTAAACACAATAAAACGTAGCCAGTCGGTGAACGGTATCGAAGTGAATCACGACGACGCGATTGTCATAAAACATTTTCGTGGTAAGTGAAAGTTCGGTACGATTCCCGTGATGGTGACCGGCTTGGCAGGTGCACGCCACACACAATAGAGATGCATCGTGCATAATGAAAAACGTCACGCTAGTCTCGGGATGTCATTTTCTAATAACATACATTCCTTTTTTTCTTTTTTTCCCTACCTATACTGTTAGCGTTGAGAGGCTATTTCAACTTGTCCTTGACATGTAGGTGAGCTCACGGGGCTCAAACTGAAGTGTTGCACTGGCCCTAGCAAGGGCAGTGCTTCGCAAAATCTACCACCGGATCGGAAACGCGACCCACTCAGAGCATCCGGCGAGAAACTCAGCGGGCTGTGTCTATGGGTTAATTTACTCGTCGAGCCCTTCGTCACAAGCGACGGGTTCGACGAGGACGGTGACCGGTGCTTGAGGTACCTAAAAGCACCGTTAATGAATCGGGAGGATCCGTAATGACGTGCTTAGGGCGACATACATTCCGTTGCGCCCAACATTTATACACCGGACGACCTGATTTCAAATCTGCTCGTTTTAATCCTATTTACAATTTAGATACGTGCTATAAGCTCAGCTTGAGATGAATTAAAATGCAAATTTTGCGTTCGTTGAAAGTTGCAATCAAATTACAATTTCAACAACATTCTTCGCCGCTCATTTGCATCTAGCAACATTATTGAATCTGTGAGCAACAAATGAACAAAGCTAAAGTTAAGTTCCGTTTGTAACATATTGCTAATTAAATAATCGTGACTTATCTAGAGCTAAAAAAGACATGACACAGACAGTCAACAGTTAAACCGGTAAAATATTACAAGGCAAATCTCCGTTTGTCACAAGAAGACAATATGAATTATGGTCACGTCATAATCACAGTTACAAGTTTTTTTTTTTTTAATACAATTTCTTTCTTATTTGTTAGTGTGAAAACAAAACCAAAAGCTAAAGTTGAGTTTCGAGCAACTCAATTATGTCGGGACTGTCTCTCAACGGTCCGAATAGCTTAATAAGATAATTAACACGCTTTCTATTGTTTTGTTGAACAAGAAATCGTCAGTATAATATCTAAAGATCAACTTTCAATTAATCCATTATTATTCGTCATTGATTAAATTTTCCATTATGTTTTCATACAATCAGAGCAGAAATTAGACTGTAACTATTATTCTATGTCACTATTGTTTAATAAAGTTTTCAATTAATGAATCGTTGTCAATATTTAATTTAAAAAAAAAACAGCGTCGATATACATCTACTAAGTTAAATGACAACTAAAATTATGGTGCGTTAGAGAAAGAAAACGTTAGTTTTGAAAGATAACGTAATAAACATGATGAAATGCTTCAACACCTTAAACTATAATGTTTAATTTCACGCGCTGTCAACACCGTTGTAGAAGAATTTGTTTTTGTTTTAAAAGAACAATTATAACAGCATTTCTTTATCTGATAGGGCCCCGAAATCCTTTTACAAGATCTTTAATGTGAATTAACAATTTGCTTGAATATGTATAACAAAGATCTTATTTTGCTTAGTAGAAACAGTATTGTCGTTAATATATTTAAGTTTTTTTTTAAAACAAGGCTATTTTTGATGCGTAGATTCTGTCATTCTTCTAGCGGTAGTTGTTTTCGCTTCAATGGTTGCCTTAAAATGCTGGCTTATAAGGTCGCGTGTGTTTTTTTCTCGACTTTCATTTAAATAAATCCATTTAAATACGGTGTTAGATTCTTTAAAAAAAAGATACTTATATATAGTTCTCATTAATATTTACAAACTTTCAACGTATATCGTCCGAAACGAAAGCGATCTACATACGTAAATAATATTGTATATAATTATTATAAATTTCACAAATTTTTGAAATAATAAAAGTCGGAAATCTTCAATTTCTATGGGAATTAAATGTAGATATTGCTTCACATCAGTTTTGAGTCCCGTTCCTTTTTATTTTAATCTAAATTTCAAAGCTGTGACTATTATTCCCTTAGTTTCTTATTCCAAAGAGTCGCTTCCTGTCTGGTCGTCTTTTTCCAGTATTATCACCTTGAAATGAAAGTTGTCGTAGAAAGATCTAGAAAGTTGTCGTACTTCGGTCACACCATAAAGGAAGGCCAAGTAAATTAATTCAAGGAAAAAAACGTATACTACATCGAGGGTATACATATAGGTATATAATTTTTATAGGAAGAAATACTGGTGGCCCGAAGGCGATTCCAGTTTCACCAGGACAGGTGGGCGAGCAGAGGCGCAGCCAAGAGTGGTTCGCGAATGAATCTACTACCGGATCGGAATCGCGACCCGCTGAGAAAATCTGGCGAGAGATTCAGCGGGCTGATGTATGGGTTTAAGTTTAAGTTGCATGTCGAACTCTCTGCCGAGTTCGACGAGTACGGTTACCGGGGTCCCTAAGCCTGCTCCTAGTGTTAGAGCTCAAGGCCTCTAGTGCTGAGGTTAATAGATTTGATGGAACGATAAGGACGTATCTAAGTTGTCGACGGTGACTGGCTCCTGCGTGAGCAGGAATCGGAGAGTAGTCAGCGGCAGCAATGATAAGGCGATTATCTTGAGGCATAGCCTTATCGAAGTACCGTTTCGACGCTAACTTCAGGTGTGTTCGGATCGATTCAAGACCCAGATCATCGTGTCTCATATTTTAACAAAAACAATTACATTCGAATTCCGAAGTTGGAACAGATGTAGTAAAGATAAGGATGCTAACCGATAATTTATTTAGAGTCGTCTGTAGAGTCATCTGTCAGTCTGGACAAATCTTGTTGTCCATGACCTATTGAGGTAAAAGAGCTTGAAGTTACAGATGGGAAGCCAGAAGGTCTATTCTCAATAGCCGACGACTCAAGTCAAAGGATTTCATTAAGTTTTGTTCCACTAATTATATAACATAACTAACGACCCGCCCTCGCTTCGCCTCGGAAACTGTAATTTATTATTGATTTCTCCACTATTTAATGGATGTTATTATACATATAAAACTTCCTCTTCAATCACTCTATCTATTAAAAAAATCCGTTGCGTAGTTTTACAGATTTAAGCATACATAGGGACATAGAAAGCGACTTTGTTTTATACTATGTAGTGATAATAGTGCTATTATGGCGCATGATGGATATCCAACTAGTTTTATTTGTAAAGTAAATAATTTGGTAAGCTCCTTTTGTTTGAAAGGCTCACAGAATTCTTATTAGTTTTATGACAAGTCATTGATTAGTCCGTGGCTGTAACACAATAAAACTCTAGGATATCATCACATAAAATCAAATTTATCGAACAAATAAACTGCGAATCGAATAAACGAACGTATATCTCAATTTACGGCATAATTTATAAAATGTGCGCACGAAAACGTCATAAAACATAAATATTAAATGAACTTGCGTGCATTGCATTAATGACATGAATTCTTTATGGGATTAATTTATATTTCACATCGATTAGTCCAACCATATAATAGATATTTTTATGAATCAAAAAGATTGTTTTTTTTATCATTCTAGATAGCCATGCTTTTTTACGATCTTTACAGATTTTCGGATTCCGGATTAAATAAATGTAATCAGATAAAATTATTTCAACAAGATTTTTTTGGAGCAGATAGACCACCTACTTCTTACATATGTGTATACATGTTCTTTATGTTAGCTAAGTAGATAAAATGACGTTTCTTGCGGTATGTGTAAATTCTAAATAAATAAATAAATTAAGCGGCCCAAAGATGTGAATCTTACTTATTTTACCCTCCAAGAAGAAACGCATAATTGGGAACAGAAATAGGTAGGTTCAATTCGTCGCTGCGTACTCATAATGCCCCTACCAGTACTCACGTCAGAAAATGAGAGTTTAATATTTTCCAATTCAAGTTAGGTAGAATGTAGTGAATTTGTAGACGAGAGACGAAGGTCAGAATTACAAGACACACAGGCAAGATGGTGCCCACTCCTGAGGGATCTTCTCAAATATCCTTTAAAGAAGGATTTATCGTAGCGCTTAACAAGTAATGTAGCTTACTTCTATCCTAAACCTCATTTCGAAAACCGGAGGGTACGTAGCAAAAATATACATATAAAAGCATCGCGGACGAACGCAGTAGTTCTAGGTACTATAGATCAATTTTGCTTCAGTAGCGGGCGTTGCCATGATAAAAATAGCTCTAAGCTAATACTTACGATCAGTAAGGTGGTTGAAAGCAGTGACGTCATCGTTCAGTCGGCCCTGGATCCTTCGAAGCTTAGTGCTCAGGTCTCGTGTGTGAAGGAACAGGAACAATGTGCACGATACCGCAACTAGAGCTACCAGTTCGCTTGTTCTGCAAATAGAAAAACAAAAACTTTATATTATTAAAAATATGGTGTGAAGACGTAAATTTGAGGATATTGGGATCAAAGCTATATATCTATAGTTTAGAGTTTAGACGAATAAACAAGAACACGGTCAACCTAGCGCTAACTCATCACAGTAGGTATCACTATAGACATCACATTGTAAATCCCGCCATCTACTTTGAGACGTGAAGTCTAAATCTCAATTGTATACTTGCTAATTCACACTACAAGGTGGAACGGCTTTTGACATAACCAGGCAAGGTCCGCAGTTCCATGAAACAAGATGAATAAAAAATTAGATATAAAAAATTTTTTTTTAAGAAAATAATTTGAAAGGCTAAAAATTGCAGTGAGACAACCCCTGGTGGAAGACAAAGTCCCACTCAAGAGATTAAGAATTAAAAAGGAATGCATAAAAATATAAGCGTCTCGTTTTCAAAACAAAATACTTATCACAGGTATAGTATACCGAAATTAATAAAAGGTAATTTTAGCTTAACGAACTTTTTTAATGCTTCTATTTTAATTTCAACGGGCATTTAATGAGCGCTTTAGATCTATATACTATTTATGAATTAAACTTTAGGACAATCCGCATATAAAGAGCTTTTGAAGCTTTAATAACTCATCACGAATATGATCATGAATATCACTTTATTGTTTTAGTAGGCACGGCGCATCTTTTTTTTTTTATTGCTTTCATTGGTGGACGAGCTCACAGCCCATCTGGTGTAAAGTGGTTACTGGAGCCCATAGACATTTACAAGGTAAATGCGCCACCCACCTTGAGATATAAGTTCTAAGGTCACAAGTATAGTTACAACGGCTGCCCCACCCTTCAAACCGCATCTGATCGTAAATGGTCATTATATAGCTGCCATCACTGTTCAATATCTACTTAACCGAATAAACAATACCTAAATCGCATAAAACACTAACAAGCTCCTAAGTTCCGTTCATTTGCAAATAATAGAATATTCGAAGAAGAAAGTGTTCGTTGATCAATAATATTTTTCAATTACAATATCCACTTACGCGTAGTTTACGTTTGTTTGTCTGTGTATTTGGGAAGTTAATTCAAAAGTCAAGTGAAACGAATCCTTTCGCCGCGATCATTGGAGCTTTCTCTGTTTGGATCTCATATGTTCGAGCATTTAACAATCTCTCGATTTCAAATTTTCCCTTTTGTTTTATTGAAACAGGTTGACGACTTACCAGATACTTAATGATAATCTGGATCAATTTTTCCTTTACATTAGTTGTCTATTTGTCTTGCATTTTTTTTATTGCCTGCTCACGGCCCGTTTAATGGACGTTAATGCTACCACATATATCGAAACGTTTTTTTCCTACCTATTCTGGGACCCTAGAGGGTTATGCCAGTGTAACCGGGCGAGTTCTCGAGACATGAGTTCTGAGTCTCAAATTTATAGTACGACGGCTACCCCTACCCTTCAAACTGAAACGCATTACTGCTTTATGGCCAGAAATAGGCGGGGCGGTGGTACCTACAGGCGTTGGCTCACAAGACAACCTACCACCAGTAATTATGCATCAGTATTAAGTTATATTTTTTGTGGGTTTGTTGCTTATAATACGATGTTATTGCTTCTACGCGGAAGTCATTCGTGAAAATTTGTTAACGTAATATATTAGAAAAATTGGTACCTGTGGAATTCGAACACCGGTAAAGTCGCATTACTCAGTACGAAAGCACCGGCGTCTTATTCTTTTAACGAATTCAAAGGTCGCAGAGGTTAAAGTCAACTCATTTTTGTGACTAATGTATAATATGGATCTAATTTGTAGATCCAACACTCTTTATTTCGGTATTAAAAGCATCGCGCCTATTGAAATAGTAGCCCTGAATAGGTTGAAGTTTCACAAAAAAAATTAAGAAACATACATTTTTATGAGAGCAGTCATAAAGTCATGTCCGTATTTTTTTTTCTGTATTTTTATAGTGGAAACGTACCGAGTGACGAAAGTAAAACTAAATTCGAGACAGTGAATGAGTTTCTTGAAATAAAATAGAAAGTGTTTAAACGTGATTCTAAGAACAAATTGCCATTAAATACCTTTAACTCCCGTGGTTCCGCTTAGCATACATAGGGACGGCTTTATATTCCGCGGAGGCTCTTTTATGAATGACTTAACGGATGTCTTTTGTTTTTAGACTAAGCCTTTGTAGGACATCGCGCTGTAAGTGCCAGAAAATGCCTCAAATCGTTATAACAACATGTTTATATAGTATTTGTAACTTTACGAAATAAGTTTCGACAAATATCTTAGTAATTTATCGTCGTATTTAAAAGATATTGAGTCAAAAAATTTTAGGCTTTGAGTGAAATCCTTAACATTCTATTATTCAAAAATATTTTCACCTTCTACGTAAATGAAGTCGCGGGTAAAATTTAGCGTTATCCCAAAGTAACTATTCCACGCGGACAAAGTTGCGAACAAAAGCTAGTAATAGAATAAAATGACAATGACTCTGTAATCTAGTTACACTTTTTAACAATACATTATAGTAATTGTTCAGTGAAACCTCATTCCGAGCTCAAACCCCTTTATTCAATCATAAAACGAAATTGACATTGAAAGCGCTCGATTTAAACCAATATCCAATGAAAAAAACATTCACCTCGTTTCGAAGTGGGTCAAAATAAAATAAATCGTGTATATCTCGAGAGAGAGAAAGAACTTTTACGTATAATCTTTTTTACTTTTTTGGAAATTTATAAAAAGAAAGTAAGCAGGTACTTCAAAGCTTAAGCCCCAAAAACGCGATATGGTATTACATCGACCTAGCTCAACAACAACAATTTGGATTCCAAAATACTAAACGAAAAAGTAAAATTGTTAAATGAATAGTAGTAACATTTGCTTTGGTTTTAGCGCAATTTCGTTTTCAAGAGCCTGGATGAGAGAAGCCGAGAATCGTGCTCAGTGGCGTGCAATTGAAGAGGCCTATGTCCAGCAGTGGGCTGGTATAAGCTGTTGATGTAATGATGTTTTACTTGTGGTGGACAGAATTAAAACTACTTTTACGACTTAATTTTAAAGATTTTAATAAAAAAAACGCGAGAACAAGCTCACAGCCCATCTAGTGTTAAGTACTTAAGGGTATGAATTGATGTCACAACTTTTTTTTTATCCCCTACCTATGTTGATAGCCTTTAGAGGCTATTTCAGCGTAACCTAACTAGTAGGCGAGCTTACGGGCCCAAACCTGACGACGTTGCTAACACGAACCCTAAGCAAGAGCCGTGCTTCGCAGTATCTGTCACCGGATCGGAAACGCGGCCCACTGAGAAGATCCGGCGAGAAACTCAGTGGGCAATATGGATCTCGCCACCAACCATACGGGTCGCCACCAACCATAAGTTAAAGCGTGTAACGGCTATCCCGCCCTGCAAATTGACAGCAAAACTTAAAATAATTGGCATTCTGGATTATTGTTAGCGGCAGAAATAATCAGCATTGTTTCACGTGAAGACTAAAAATACGCTCTGCCAACATTAATCGCGATAATTTATTAATTTAGGAATTTTTAATTCCACAACATTTTAATTTAAAATAACTATGAAACTCAATACAAAACTGCAGTAGCACGGTAGTTGTTAGCGTAGAAATGCGTAGAAAGCCTTGATGAATATGAAGCGAGCTTAATCCGATACTGGCCCTAGTCGAGATTGGAAAGTTGGGTGCAGCCCGTTCCGTTAGTCTAAGACACTGCACTTTCCTTACGATGCACCATAAGATAACTCATCATTTGTTTATCATTAAACATTACGCCTGAATGATTATCTTCGCAGATATGTCGTTTAGTTTGTTTAGTACATTAGCTTACTAACAAAGCCATAACGTAACATTTAAGTTAATTTCAAACAGTTTTTAATTTATTTCACTCAGGACTTAACGATCACTTTTAAAATTGATTTTAATTTAGTACGTATTCACATACAATACTTGTCACAATTTACATTCACAAATAAAGTCGTCCATAAATAAGTATATTTGTTAAAGATTCTATAATTGGTATCTGATCCTCAATTGTCATTCCATTTATATCGGAACACATTGCTGCTTCGCGTTATTAATAATCAGGATTGTGGCCAATACCTAGACGCCTATTGCTTAGATGGGTGGACGAGCTCACAGCCCACCTGATGTTAAGTGGTTACTGGAGCCCATAGACATCTACAACGTGAATGCGCCACCCACCTTGAGATATAAGTTCTAAGGTCTCAGTATAGTTACAACGGCTGCCCCGCCCTTCAAACCGAAACGTATTACTGCTTCACGGCAGAAATAGGCAAGGCGGTGGTACCTACCCGTCCGGACTCACAAGAGGTCCTACCACCAGTAAAACTAAAGTGTGCTTTTGAAAGTAAAAGGACACAAATAGCCTGCTGAATTTGTTTCATCGGTTCTTCGCGTGACTGGAGTAATCTTTAGGAACCGGCGGTAGTGAAGACAGGTTTTGACAATTCAGAACGTTTGCGCTGTTTTCACTTAAAAAATAACAACTTTTTAAATATACATATGGCTTATCATAAAATTTTGTAAATACTGCTCGAAATATTACAATGAGAAAGGGGGTCACCGACTGTTGCTTCTGTAATGCAAAGACTCGAGTCGAGCATCAAATACGGTCTACGTATTATTATTTCTGTCTTAATAATTAATTTAATTAGTGACGTAACTTGTTTTAATTTACGAGTATCAAAGATTAAAAAAGGCATTTGTTAAGAATAAGAAGAAAAACACGAAAATAAAACACAATTAATTTAAAATAACAGTACTTATAATTATAAATATAATTAATTAAAGATTTACAACTTTCGGCAAAGGCTACAATCACTTTTTTGTTCATTTCTTTAATCGTATGCTACATGGCTTCACAATCGTGGACTTTTTTAATAAAGAAAAACGTCACCTATTCAGTAAGGATAAAAAAATGTCGTTCTCCGAGCCGTAA